TTTTAATATCAAGTTCACTTTTTACCTCCCTCGCTGGGATATGATCGCTATCGATATCGATAACAGGAAATTCCGTATTAAATAAAACATTTGATTTTTCTCTTCTTTAATCTCTTTAATCCAGTCTTCGATGACGCGAATTTTTCAAGCAAGACTGGCTAGCGTCAAGTTTTTGCACAATTATATCGTGTAATATACTTTTTACAAATGAAATCTTGCATTAATACGCATTCTGGAAGTAGATTTTCAAATAAATTTAATATACGGCCTCGCTACAAGAGATGTTCAAATTGACCGCAATTGCCGATCGATTTAATCGCGAAATTGCCACGTAAGGACTTTATTGCGCAATTAGCGTGATTTGCTTTAGCGACGATGGCAATTATCCTGTCGCATGTCTGGTTAATCCGATCGGTCGGCCGATATTCATTCGCAATGACGAGTGATTAAACTTCGCCTCGGTTGTCACTTTGATCCCTACCGTGTGAAAAAGCGAGCGGCCGCCTGTATCTCGCGTGCGTATCGTAATCAGCAGCAAAATTCTCGTTCTATCGTTTCGAGAGGCCGTCTAGTCCTGTTGCCAGGCGTTTTGCACGGCATGCGGGCAACGTTTTTGTGGTAGGTTAGTAATTCCGTCGTCTCACGCGGAGCGCGTTACGTATTCGTTTCACGCTCTACGAGGCCCACGCAGCCGGCAACAGCTGGACCAGCGGCGAGTTCGCTTGCACTCTTCTCCACGTACGTCTACGTCGCCGTATATATTGCTACAGTGTGCGAGACGAAACGCGATCCCCTGAAACTGGATTGTGACGCGAGTCGCAATGTTCAATGCGTTGCGAGATTTAGGCGCGGTTAATCAACAGGTTTGACGATTTATACTTCATTAACTATTGTGATTGATACGTTTCGATCGGCAAAATCCGGCCTGATTAACATAATCCGATGTAATAATCTGTTTTAACGATACTCCGCCTAAAAACGATTTAACACGTATACAGTATCGGTCAAATGTATAACTTTTTTTGAAAATAACTTAATTCAAAGTGTATATTTAATTAATTTTTCTCAAGTTGCTGTGTCCATTATTGAATGAAAAGTCTATTGTTCAGTAGCAATCTACTCTCTAAAAGTGAATCAGTGTATTATCACTGAAAAACAGTAAATAGTCACTGACTACACTTATAGCAGTTATAAGTACAGCACTGTAAATCAGTGATATTTTATTGAAAGAATCAGTTAAAAATTTTGACTGTTTCAATCAGTAATATTTCTTTCGTTATTGTCAGTAATATTAAACTACAATTCATCTCTCTATCTAGATCATATAAAATTAAAAATTTTATTTATATTTATTATATTAAAAAATTTATTTTATTTATATTACATGCATATGGAACTTGTTATTTTAAAAAGATAACAAACGAATTTTTCTTAAGCCGCTAGACATTTATCTGTCCGATTCACAAGATTGATTTAATATCTGAAGCCTCTCTATTGAGATTGTATCAGAAATTACATCGAAATAATATTTCTAATTTTATCTGTCGCTCTTTGCAAACTTTATATAATTCTTATGACTAAAACTAAATACGAGAGAGATAGCGATCATATTTAGTTTTAGTCATAAGAAGCGGTAAACGAACAAACTAGCGATTACTGGCAGTGAATTTTATTTTAACTGACCATAATCAGTGAGATATAAGATAAAATAAAAAAATAACAAAAAAATAAGCGTTTCCACTGAAAATCAGTAAAATACTCACTAATAATACTCAGTGAAATCTTATTTTACTATTTAAATTAGTGATATTTTCACTGATTCACTTTTGGAGAGAATATACCTACTATTAAAACATGTGACTAGATAGAAATATAAAGGTGATATATATTTTTGGCCGGTACTGTATGTATTGATCTATGTCTCTATAATTAATTCTATTAGTGTAAATAATATATATACACTAATCGCATTTAATTTATTAGAAATGTGTGTTTTTAAATGAATTATTGGAAGTATTTATCATCGAGAATTTCCTACTCTAGCAAGTTAATAATTGAATTTTATCTTCTCCGGCCCCCGGACTTTATTTTTTTAAATGTTCTCTTATTATTTTTTCTCTTTATAAAAGTATCAATTTTTCGAAATACATAAAGCAAAATATTATTACCGTAATATCACGCTTATCGCGAGTTTTAGAGGAACGAACGAGAGAAGTTGTAAACAAGAAAATTGAATTTATCTTCGGATAAGCACGTTATATCATATATCGTGACCTTTGATGCGTTTGAATTGAATAATGAGTTTCTGGCGTCAAGTAATTGATTTGTCCTAGAAATCATGATATCTCGTATCTTCGCGAGACAAATCGATCTCGGCCTATGAAGGTCAGTCAATCACGCGGATTAGTGCGTGCTCGATCCTGTAACATGCACGAGATGACAACGGGAAGTGACACGCGGGCTTTTGTTGACCTAGGTTAGCAGTCAGTTCCGTTCGTTGGCGCCTCTGATTCTATTCTTGCACGCATTCTTGTTGTACTTAATACATTATCATCGTGATACGCATTATACAGCTTAATAACGAATGAAGACGACGTGGCACGCGATCGAAATTTTACCGAGATTCTCGCGAAAAACAGAAGAGAAATATTACGCTATTTTTTATACTTATTCATTAAATTTGAATACGTAAAACTTTATCGTAAACAATACGCGATGTATTAACCTTTAAATTGAAAATGTGAAGGAAAACGTGTCGCTGAAATTCAAAATGTAACACGAAACATCTGGATAATTTTACATAATTCAGCGATATCTTCAATGTAATTTACATACATATTATGTATTCGCATGCGAATGTTTTTCTCCTCAATATATGTCTTGCAATAGATAATGATAAAAATATTTTAATTGTTGCAAATAATATGAGACGATAAAAATCTTTTTATTACGGGACGATCGAATTACAAATATCCTTTTTATTAGAAAAAGAGTTGCTTTTATAATTATGTTCGGTATATATTACCATAATAATTTGTTTATACTCGTGACAAATGACATTTTGTGGGAATATTCTCATAAATAACTCCCAGGTATATATCGCGAGCTAATCTTTTAACGAGTTAAAAGGCGCTTCGCAGTTGTGAATCTGTAAAAACGTGATATTATCGGCGAGATAATTAAAAGAATCGTGTACATACTATACATATACAAAGGAGATATATTCGATAAGTGAACTATTTGCTTGTATGACCTAGGTTAATAATAGTTTTATTATTACGTTGCGTTCCCAGCGAGGTGTTAAGACTCGTATCAATTAGTTAGACGTTTCTTAATGAGATTCCGACACTAAGCGCGCATAATGAGTACGTTCTCCATCGGTGAACGGGGATACGAGTGTGTATCGCGTCAGTAAATAGCAGCAGCAGGTATTCTTAATAGTACAGTAAACTCGTATCGTCGGATAAATATACGGTATTATATAAGTTGTTTTTAAGCCAAGATACAAAGATAACCGACCTGCGAATGCGATTGGCTGATGTATACCTGTATTCATTGCGTAATAATTGAGCGAATTCTTTTCAGCAGGCGCACGGCATTTATAGCCGCGATGGTTGTTTATTAATAAAGTCGACAAAGCGACGACGATGAAGTAACATCGTCAGAAAATATCATGAGAAGAAAAACATCTTTATGAAGATGTAACCGCACGTACTCGGTTGGCAAATTGCGTCTCGCGATTGCCAGTGGAAAACTCGATAATTGAGTTGGCTCGTGAAAATATATAGGTAATAAATCGATCGAAAATATAAAGGAAATAAATCAATCTCGATTCGATTCGGTATACGAGATAAATGATGTTTTACCGTAAAACTGTTCAACTTGCTCGCGAGATTCTAATTAACATCGGCCTTCCAGGCAATCGAATCGGTTGCGATATCAAATGCTCATGTTTCTAACTAATGGAATAGTTCGCAAACCTTCGTCAACGAACATCCCATCGTTTAATAGCCCCCCCTTTTGCCATCGGATCGTTTTACAATGGTGATTAATTTTCAATTGAGGCTGTCGTTTTTTTCTCAGCCTGCGGGGTCTGTCAGCGCCCGTTTGACGCACGTTTGACGGCCGGCAAATCAGCCGACCATTATCCACCATTATCTAACCGTTTTTCTATCTCGTCATCCTTTGGATAAATCGAACACCCCACCGCCTCTGCCATTTCGTCGTATTGTTGACGAATAAAGGGACAGTCGACGCTGTTCGTGGATACACGCGCGGCACGTTTGCTTCTCTCTTATGCTACCACGTCCCGGGTGACATTTCGGGACAACCAGCGAGAAACGGTAACGATCCACGATCAACCGCGACAGCTGTTAATGCGCCACGATGAATTCGATTTGACGACCGAAGGGTAACGGTGCGAGACAAAGGAGAGACAGAGAGAAGTCGGTCTCGCAGGAATTTAGGCCCCTGGGTGGAAACTACTGCTTGATTGCGTACGAATGTGACGCGATTTCATGGGTTTCGTCGTGAAAGAAGAGGAAGACGGACAGAGAGAGAGACGGAAAAAGGAGGAGAAGAGACGCCGAGCTTTGGCAATCGTCGACGGAGGTACAACGAGGGTGCGAGAATAGGAAGCGCGGCACGTTTGCCCCTCTTTCCTCCCTTGCCTCGGCAGAATCGACAGGTTCAAAGGGATTCTAGAAGGACCGGGGATTTTCTCGTTTGAGGAGCGTGCGACGTGAGCTTTCAGACAATTTCTCAAGCGTGTGCGGGTCACGTCGGTAATGCGAGCGAATACGTCAGCACACGACTGCGCTGATTTACCCTTCGATGTTCGTAGGGTGGTGACGGTCGTGATGTTACATAAATACAGTAAGGGGTGGATTTTGCCGGACTAGTCACCCGAGTGACCAGTTTTTCTTCTTTTTGAATTCATTGAATTGGGCGAAATTACCTTCTCGGAAATAAGCATGAGACAGTATTTCATTTTTCAGAATTGTATCATTTTTATTATTATTTAGTTTCACACGATTATACACATATTTAAGTGATATAAAAAGGCACTCGATACTAATAACACACATCCATGAGAATAAATGATTACCACACACATCAATTGATAATAAATGATTAACACACATCAATTGATAATAATTGATTATTTATCCACATGTGACATCACGATTAACAGTTGTAAGGTTTGACGCATTTACCCCATTTGTTTCTCAATAAGCCATTTTTGCAGAAACAACCCTTGACACATAACTGAAAAAAAAGGGTGAAATATGAAAATATAAAAATTTGTTAAAAACGTTGATTTAATTTTAATTTTGAACAAGCTTCTTTACATAGATACACACACATGATTTTTCTGAAGGCTTTTTAAATATTTAAAATATTTAAAATAATAAATGAAAAGAGAGATTACCAAATTGCATATTGGCTTAGGTTTCTGGCAAGATGGTTGACAGGCAGTTCCACATGTCTTATAGATCTCGTTCTTAGGGCATTTTGGAGGTGGAGGAGGAGGGGGAGAAGGAGGAGGTGGCGGTGGTGGTGTCGGTTTGCAATGTTTTGGTGGTGGAAGGGGAGGAGGATGAGGCGTAGGCGATGGTGTCGGTTTCCAATGTTTTGGTGGAGGAGAAGGTGAAGGAGGAGGAGGCAGTGGTTTCGGTTCGCAATGTTTTGGTGATGGAGGAAGAGGAGGAGGTAGTGGCTTGTATTGCTTTAGAGAAGGATTACTCATGACAGCTATAAAAGAAATAAAATATTGTCTTTTTAGTTAGGCATAAAAATATTAAAATATCTAATATACATAAATTACATTTTAATAAAATTAAAATAAGAATAAGAGATTTTTAAAAGAAACAAAAAAGTAGTCTTATGTTATTGCAATATTATAACGGAAATACAAAATGTTTTATAAATTTTAAGCTGTATTTATAAAAATGTATTTTTTGTAGTTAATGTTGAAATTTTTTTTTTAAATTGTGATAAAATATATCTAATTAAATTCTGGTTAAAGATATACATATTTTATGTACAATTTAAATATTACTTTCGAATTTATACTTACTGACGCAGATAATCGCCACGAGAAAGAGAACCATCAGATTGCGAGACATGTCGAATAATTTTTTGTTATTGTTCGTTATTTGCTGAACTGCTCGAGATTGATGCATGTTGCTAGTTAGAGGCATTTTTTATACCAGAATTTTTCGTACATTAATGTTTTTTATTTATTCGCGTTATCAACAGTATATCTTGGTGACAAAAGAAATCTAAACTTTAGTCTTTTACTTTACTTATGCAGTTGTTCGATAGAATGTATGAGCGTTTCTTTAACAAACGCATCTGTAAAAAAAACTATTTTGTTGCGTGGCACACGTCTTTATTGCTTCATTACTCTTCAAATCTTTCCTGTTTTCTGGTTTCATTGTTTTGATATAGAACACGTGCCAGTTATTATAAAGTAAATAATTCAATTCAAATTTTTTTAGTTAAAGTAGTGTTCTTTCTAAAGATTTTATTAATATAAACAAAATACTTTTATTTCGTCATTTTAATAATATCGCAAATGTATCGCGAAAAAAATTCTAAATATGCAAATTTATATTACATTTAATTTTGTGCATATATGTACATCATGTACATTTTTGGAATTTCACAACAATCAAAAATAAAAACAACTACTAACAAAATTGAATTTTTCGAATATTACTATGCGCTAAAATATATCACGATTTATTTTTATTAAAGCACATTTATAATTATATAAATGTGCGTATTTTACACAAGAATTTTTTATTCAAACAATTAAATGAAATATAGTCATGATGTGACTTTTTTATCTTGTATATTTATTCATGATTTTATTCATGAGTCATTACCATTAACTGTCATTCGATTTTATTTATAGTCAATGAAATACAGTTACATAACACTTTTTAATTACGTGTCCATATTTGTAATTTAAATAATATCTCATTAATATTTATATCTTCGATTTCTTATATATTATGTTATTCTTGGAAATATTTGTACTTTCTTTTCTGAAAAGTCAGTACAGAGAATTTCACACGTGTTACACAGATGTACATTGATTGCTATATTTATTTGAAAACGAGCATGAAGTAAACTTGTTTTGATCGTTCTTATATTTAGTTAATCTGTTCACATATATATGCACATACATAGATATGTATGTTTGTGCTGTTTAATTTTTCATGCTTTGGAAATTTACATTTAATACAAAAAAATTGATTTCTTTATTATTAAATTTATATTTTGCTGTGTATACGTTTATAATATTAAACATAAATGTTATTTACAATTATATATTATATATTTTTTAGTCAGTTAACTAGATAAAATATAACCACTATTTTATATTTGCCTTTTCTTATATTGGATATCTATTTATAATTTAATGGATATCTATTTACAATTTAATATCAATTTATTATTATATATTATCTTAGCAAGAATAAGAATTCAGACAAGTAGCAGTAAATATCTTATTTGTTCTCGAAAATATTAATTTTTTTTGCGTTATATCTATATTTTATTATATCTCAGTTTATTTATATTATGTAATATTATAATTGCTTCTTTTCAAAAGTTAACAAAAAACGTTATTACGATTGTTACGGATTGGAATTTTACTAAATCAGAAATTAACTTGTATTAACCTGTTGAAAAATATTACAAAAATATTACAAATTATATGTGAAAATAATTTTATAACATTCACTTTATTTGATTCCTTGTCTTGTTAATGTATTGCTATTTCTGCAGTATTTTATTGTTATAGTATTTTCTGGCAGCTGGCCCGTTGGTTCTTTCGTTATTTTGACGATAATGGGACACGTGTCACCCGGGGGACAAAGGAAGTCGCATTCTGTAGCGTAACATAATCGATATAACTGCATTCTATACCTGCTTTTTTTAAAAATCCATCAAATAACAGTGCTTTTTGGCGACTAACACATTGTTGTAGGGCTCCGATGCGAAAAAAGAACAGATGATAATCATTTTTTCAAGACTATGATGTAAAAATTAAGAATAATAGTATTTTTTTTTCAAACATGCAGAATTAAAAACACATAAAAAGTAATGAAAAAAATTATCAAGACAATTTTTCTATTGAATGATATCTATAATTATTAAAGGAACATTGAATAAAGAATTTTCACGTAAAAAATATATTGTTGTCGCCGCTTTAGACTAGGAACTGAATGGCTTTAATAATCTCGTATCGCTGAATTATTTCGATTGAGACCCGAGCTCTCTCGCATTCGATATTACTTAATTAAATTGTGCATTTGATTTGATGTACATCTCTAATGCACATTAATGTCCATCGAATGATCCTATCGAAACGGTCGTTCCGCGCACTGTCTGTTCTAGTAATCTTCTTAACGAAGAATCCACCCCTCCGTCATCATAGGCGGTAGAGGGAAATACTACTTCCTTGCTAAATCCAATAAGCGGCTATCGGATACGCTTGTCTACTCTCTCGAGAGATGAAATTCGTGACCAATGCGCGTCGCGGGGCGAGGAGACGAAATAAGAGGACGAGAGAAACAATCCCATTCTGCCCGACGTTCAGGAGCCAAAAGAGTCCCGGATTCAGGACGGACGAGTGGCAGGTGCGCCCGTTTCTAGAATCGAGAGTATACCCGGGACCCTTAATGCGGTATTTCATCGGTCATAATCTTCCTTTCGCAGGACGTCCCTTTGTCCTCGAGGAATGAAAATGGTGTATGTGGGCTATGGATATATCTCGGTTTTTTCCGATTCGATCGCATCCCTCCAGGAACTTCGACGAAAGAGGATGGATCGTTATATCGATGTGGGATCTCTCCCAAGCTTGTACGAATCGCGAATGTCAATTGAATTATTTGCGTCTCTCGTTATTTAGTGTCGTGTCGAGCTAACACTTATTGCATCGACATTTGTTCGATCGAAATTAATGTCTTTGGGGAACAATTTAAATTACGTTGCACATGAAGTGTTACAATTCTCGTATTGCATGCTATTATTTGATCGAAGTTATAGTAATGTAATAACAAGTAATTTATTTATTAAATTGTTCAATTTTGTACAAATGTGTAAAGCAATATGTTTTTAAAATATAATACGTATAAATAAATATAAAATATTTTAAAATATAATTTAAAATATATAATTATATAATATATTATATATAATTATATAAATATATAATTAAAAATGTTTTTAAAATATAATACGAATAGATTATCTGCGTAATGTTTTAAAGTATGCCATATATTTGACATTAATCTTACTTTCGTATAATTGAATAATAGAGAGAAGGAGATAGATATCTTCTTTTTCCCTATCTCTCCTTTGAACGAGAACAAGTGTTCGATTAATAGCAAAGTTTTCTCATGATCCGTTGGCGCGGGGGCAAACGAGAGAAAGAGTAAACTGATATCAACGATAGGAACGACAGAGAGGAACCGAAACCGATCAGAGAAACACGATTGAAAGAGAACTCTCTCGCTTCTCTCTATTCACTTTCGAAACTACGAAACTTCCCCGACAGTCGCGTCGTCGCTTCTCTAACTGCTTTATCCGCGTGCCGTGCTCTTTGTTCTCCAAACATTCCTGTCGCCGGCTTGGAATCCTGAGAGACAAAGCTATTTGGTAAAACGTTCTATTGATTATTTCGAGTATGCTTATGATCAAATAATATACTTTTGGAACAAAATAGTATCGCGAAATTTCGAATAACATAGATTTTATTGTTGATGATGTATAATTCAACTCTCTTCATCATGTTTGTGACAAAGGAAACAATTTATGCAATTTTTTATATTACACAAGATACAAGTGTTTGGTAAAAAATTGAGGATATTATAATTATATTATAATAAAAGTTTTTGAAATTTTAAAATCATTCGTATTAATAGATTGAAAGAGTAAATTAGCGGAATAGACTTGGACTTGAAGAATTTAACAAAACAGACTACGTCTGTGTACAAAGTTATTTCTAGTTGATGTTGATGTGTTAAACAATTCCCTCTTTATTGCGAAATTTATTACGTAATGTGACATGCTTTTAATACGAATTTTTTTGTTGTAATTGACAGTTATAAGTTTGATAGTTGCAATGACCAATAATTAATTTTTATAAAAGAAGCTCTCTTTGTTTCTGATGTGAAAGAATAATCTAATACTATAATCGAAGAAAGATTATACGCATGATTTTAGATTTCGCGCGAAAATCCAAGCGTCGATAATTTATTTCTAGAATGAATGGCGTAGAGTTTTCTATGGATTTTTATAGCGGAAAAACGGGACCATATGCAAATTCTATGAAAAAAGGATACCCTCGTACTTTTCCTCCGATCCCTCGAATGTGTCGCCTTTCTTCTCCCTTCTCTTGAAAAGTAATTCGAGACGAGTTTCTAGTGGGACTCGGGAAATGCTTCTCCTGTACTTTTATGTTGGCCACGTCCCTTCGTTTCGTGAAATTGGAAAGGCACGAGGAAAGCAGCATGGTCCCTGGACGATCGAAGGATCGCTAATGTACTTCGTGGCACGCGAGGATGGAAACTCGAGAGTCAACGAGAAGTGATCGAACGGGGAAGATAAGGGGAGACAACGAAGATGAGAGCAAAAATGAGAGGCAAGATTGGCAGGACGAGAAAACGGATTTGCTAGCACATACACATATATTGTACCTGCTGACGTATCTTGGATGATGAAAAAATGAAAAAGGATAAAGATGATTGATTTTGCTCTCTTTCGCTTTTAAGTAAGAATTTTTTTTAATGTTTATAAAAATATTTAAATTGCCTCAAGATTTAATAAAGAATGATAATTTGAAGATTTTAATGTGAATTTGTGCAATCGAGAGAAAATGGAATAAATAAATAGAGAATATTTTTATTCACTTAAATAACAGTAAGTCATAAATTACTGTCACGTAAATCTGAATTTAATTATCGAAATAATCATCAAAAAACGACAGATGCCAAGAGAAAATTTCGATGCGTATCCTCACTTTCTCCAATGCTTTAGCTGGAAGCTAAACTCGCGAAATACCCCAACAGCTGTCTCACGAGGCGTCTTCTTTTACTTCTTTCCATTCTCGTTTCCCTTCTTTTATGTCGTCGCCCATCCCTCTGCACACCCCATTTCCGCA